CAGTGGGGGGAAGCTCGCGTCCAAGGCTATAAATGGGGAGGGGGGGGTTGAGCGAGTCCGCGGGCTCTGGGTTTCGCTACCTCAGGAGCTGGCTTTTGCAAACTACCAAGTTCCTTCCACCTTATGCAACCGAGCTACCCACTTCTTCAAGCCGTGCGACACTTAGAGCCATCTCGGCCGCTTTCCTTCCTGTTCCCGCTGGGGGCCCCAGAAGAAGGGTTTGCGAGGCCTGGCCGCACCGCCCTTCTCCGCTGGAGGCGGGAGAAAGCGCGCGGCTTGGAGGCACAGGCTGCAGTTCCCAAGGCCAAAGCTAACGCTGAAGTGGGAAAGAGCGGGGAAGCCAGCTTGGCGCAGCCGGACGTGCATCGTTCCAAGCTGCCACTCCGAGCAAGCTTTCCGTGCACCTCACCTGGAAGGGGGTCCACTCGAGCTGGAGTGGGAGTTCGCAGGGAGACTTTACACGCAGAGGTTACTTTCGGGTGCAGTGGGGCAGGTAGGAGCTGTCCTTTCAGCACCCGCTGCTCAGCAGCCTCCCCAAATATCAACGAAGCCCCCCCGCCAAAGCCTCGGGTAGCTCCTTGAGTTCCTGTATTCGCGGACCTCAGGACCCTGCCACTGAATGATGGAGATCGGCCGCTAGGCCTACCAGCACTCCCCTCCCCCTACGCTCCACACGCTTCGGAGACAGCAAGCTCAGCTGCCCCCACCCGACGCGGCCACCAAGCCTGGGCGCTGCAAACGCAGCTGGTGAAATCCCTCCTTCCACACTGGCTAGCTGGCTTCCTTTTACTTGCGCGAGGAAGAGGGTGGAGGAAAGCGTCCGGGGATTAGGAAACAAGTAGAGGAACAGGTGTTGTGATGGCAAAGGGGCTCTTCCATTGGCTCCCCTTCCCCACACGCCCCCAAAGCTAGGAATCCTGGAGGTAGCCAGGTGCACCTGAGGGAAGGTGGACAATTGCTGCAGCAAAACAAGGTGTTCTTTCGTCGCACTATTAGCAAACAAGTTTTACATCTAAGAGTTCTTAAATTTCTATTTGACACCCAGGAGAACACAAGAACATGATAAATATCCTCAATTGGGGGCTTGGCTCACAGGTGGGAGGACATTTAAATAGGTCCCATCTAGTTTATTGACGCAAGGGTTTAAGCTGGTTGGTACAAATCTCTACACAGGTAGAGAGCAACCACGAGTTCAAATCATTTGCAGCCCTGCTCCTGGGCAGCACAGGCCCCTCAGTCTCTTCTCTTGCCTACCTCTACAATGCTCCTGGGGCAGCCCCTCCCCATCTCAACCTGCCTACCTTTCCCAGGATACAGGACCTCAGGCCAAAGAGAGATACCAGCCCCATTAATCACTTCTTCTGTACCCTAATCATATCAGGGGAAACCCAGAACAGAGACAAGACTCCGTCATGCTCACAGGGCAGATTGTTTGCTGCCTCCAGCCCCTCATTCCCTTAATTGTAGGGCTCTGCATTATAGCCCCATAATTCATGCCTCCCTAATTGAGGCTGTCAACTGCCCCATTGTAAAGCTGGAAAATGTACAGCACCTGCTCTCTCGGAACCCTGTGCCAGGTGTGAGGGAGGCTTGCATTGATCTAATTCTCAATCATAGTGTCTGACATTTAAATTTGATTTTCTAGTGTCGGGTATTTAGGCGGAAGGCAGGGAGACTAGAGTATAGGGAAGTCGGGGGTTAAAGAGTACACTCTTGCAAGACCCCACCCTTCCCCTAGAGGGGAGGTGCTAGGGAAAAGTTTGCGGAGAGTAAAATGGAAAGACTGAAGAGTAGCCATTGGTTGGTACTGCTGCTCTGGGGCACCTGAAGCAGAGATGCTCAGGCAGATAGCTCTTCAAAGGCACTAATCCTCTCAGCAGCTCTGCAGTGAGGCCTGGCAGGGAGAGGTAAGGGAAAGGACACAGCCCTTGACTCAACCCTCTCCTTCCTGCTGGGCAGCCACGGCTCTCACAAGCTGACACTGACAAGCTGAGAATAAATCGTCTCAGGGCCTACTTAGGGGGCCAGGCCAAAAAGCTGAGAGAAGCCTCAAAGATTGAGGGAGTGGGAGGCAGAGTCTGAGATGGTGAGGGAAGAGGCAGTCAGTTGGGAAGTGGTACTTTCTGTGTTTTTGGTTCTGATGTGTTCCAGGGAAAGAGGTCTGTGCTGGACTAGACCCACCAGGGTCTATAAGGCCCTTCTTTTACCCTGGAGTCTGGCCCCATGCCCTGCAAGAGGAGGAAAGCTTGTGTGGGCTGAGTTGACAATAGGTAATTGGATTGTAATCACCCGCCTGGCTTCTGCGCCATTGGGGGCGCTGAGCCTTTCAGTGAGCAATCAGCACTGCGTGGTGGGAGGGGGTAGAGATTCAATAGCAAATCCCAGGTGGAGAGCCAAGGGGGAGGATCAGCAGATGGGCAAATTTTCTTTCCATCTCTCCCTTTCCTTCCTAGCCCAAATGACGCAAGCTGCCAATTAGCTATTTACCAGCAGATCTGAGGTGGAGCCAAATCTTTTGTGAAAGTCAGACGGAAGGCTAAGATGGATGGGTAAAGGGTGAAGGTTTGGGGAGACCTCTTCCCCACAATTGTGTGTTGAAGGAGGTGCTGGGTGGAGGGGAGTGCATCTAGGAGCACAGGTAGAGGTGGCAAAGATGGAAGGAGCAGGCAGCAGAAGAGCTGGGGCCACCTGTTCTCCAAACCTATTGGTGATGAGAGCTGCATTTAGTGTACTTGTGGGAGACTCAGCCTCAACCCTCCCAAGGACCACTGTCCCACACAACTCAAAGGTATCTATGGCCCACATAAACTGGCCACTGGGGCTCCCTGCCAAGCAAAGGGAACACAATTCATCATCAGGAGGGAGTTACCCTTCAAGAAAAGAAAGGGGAGTGGGGCCCTGGAGGCAGAGGGCAGGGCAAAGTAGCAGGCCAGCATCACTTAGGCTGATGCAGTGCCCAGACGTGCCAGCCAGTCAGCCCGCTTGAGTTCCAAGGCCTGCAGGAAGCCTTGGACTCGCTCTTCCCGTTTGGCTGAGAGTTTGTGCAACCGTGTCCGTCGGAGCTGGGCATCCCCACTGGCCTGGAGCCCCTCTTGCAGCAGCTGCTCTGTCACTGCAGCCTGGTCCCTCTCCAGCTGCTGCCTCTTCCGATCCTCTGCATACTTGTCTCGGGCCTTCTGCTAAAGAAAAGGGGGTGGGGGAGATCATTTTTAGGTGTGGGTGGAACTGGAATGAGGTAGGTAGGGGCGGGGCACAGGGCAGGCCAAATTAAGTGGAACAGTGGGGAATTTGTACCAGATTTGGAAAGGTTAGGCCGTAGGTGTGTGGTTGGTGGTGCCCATGTTGTACAGGGAAGGCAGTGGAAGTTCTGGGTCCATCTTGGTTTTGGGTGGTAGCATCTGTAAATTTTTGAAATTCTCAGGTTTGTACTTAGAAGGGAACCAGCAAATATGGATCTGACTTCTGGTTCCCCCAACTAGCTTTGTGGCTTTAGGTAAATCCTCTCCTAACCTCATTTCTTCATCTGTAAAGTCGGGGTTGTGTCTACCTTGAAGAGTGGTTTTAAGGATTAGGGATAATATATGCAAAACCCTCTCTAGCATATTAGCAGGCTTTCAAACAGAAACAGCAATTTTACCTATTATTACTGTCTATTCTCTTCTGTAAGGAAGGTTCTATTTCCTGCCTGGGGCACATCCGTGGCGTCATTTCCTTTGGTTTCCTAGGTCACCCTAACTGTGCCATTCTCTCAACTCTTTAAGCTATTTTTCAGAGTTGGGCTCCAGACTTGCCTCTCATATGGGGACTAGCCTGACTCTTCCAGCAAATGACCCTTCTGTTCAACACTCTTAAGCCACTTATTGCTTTCTGCATAGTAGAATAAGTATTAATGTTCATAGTCCACAGTCCCACTTTTTCTGTTAGAAAATAAGCCCTTGAAGGCTCCATTGAGCCCTCAGAGCTCCTGGAACTAGCTCTGATACCAGGTAGGTGATCATACTCCCAGCAGCACTTCTTATACCCTGTGTGTGTCTCCAGACAAGTCATAAACTCCTAGAGGGCAGAGACTGTGGCTTTCCTCTGGCACTTGGGGTGCCCTGTATGTGTGAAGTACTCAATTGACTGACCATATGATCCCAGGAGGGCAGGGATGATGTTCTTAGGGAGGGGAAAACCCCTTTGGAGCAGAACCAAGGCCCTGCTATTCCTCATTGATGCACTCTGCTCCTGCCACTTTCTAACTGGCCACAGAGCCTTTGCATCAGAGCTCCTCCTGCCAAAGCCGTTTCCATTAGTGAGAAACTGCTTTGCTGCCAACTTGGCATCCTATACCCTGATGACCCTTACCACATAATCCCATCTTACGTTACTGTATTTGTGTACATGTCTCTGTCCTACTCAGCCTGTAAACACCTGGATTGCTGTCTATATTCTTTAAGGAATATAGTCAAACCTCAGTTCTCGAATGTCTCCCATCTCAAACAATCTGGTTCTTGAACAAGTTGTTCACGAAAGAAATGTCTCGGTTATTGAACAAAACTTGGGTTCTTGACCAGACAACCCTTTCATGCTGACACCTGTATGATCAGTCATGCATCTCTCAGGGGACAAAGGAGAGAATGCGTGAGTATGAGTCAGTTTACTGCTAAACCTTGCATTGTTAACATCTCAGGAAATTGTGCTGTGAATATTTTCATGGTTTTTTGCTTTTGTTGCTGCTTATTATTAAATATGTACCATAAATCACCATGGGTCCTAAGAAGTTTAGTGATAGCAGCAACATGAAAAGGAAAGTTGTGAGAATAGAGCTTAAAAAAGAAGTAATTGCAAAGTATGATAGAGGTGTTCTCGTGTCTGATCTGGCTACTGAGTATGGCATGGTGAAATTGATGATTAGCACAATTTTAAAACATTAAGAGGCCATCAAGAGTGCTGATGCTGCCCAGCCAGTGTGGCTAAGTGGATGAGTGTCGACCTATGATCCAGGAGATCGTGGTTCAACTCCCAGTCAGGGCACATGTCTGGGTTGCTGGCTTGGTCCCCAGCAGGGGGTGTGCAGGAGGCAGCCGATCAATGACTCTCTCATCATTGATGTTTCTGTCTCTCCCCCTCTCCCTTCCCCTGTCTCGGAAATCAGTAAAAACATATTTAAAAAAAAAATGCTGATGTTGCTCAGTGAGTGAAAGTACTCATGAAACAATAATCACAGGCAACTGAGAAAGGTTATAACAGAATTATTTGGGGGTCTGGAATGGATTAATTCAACTTACACTATTTCTAATGGGAAAAAATGATTCGGTTTTTAAACAAATCGCTTCTTGAGCAGCCTTCTGGAATGAATTAAGTTCAAGAACCAAGGTTCCACTGTATCTTTCATGTGCACAAGCACTTGACCCTTGAAACAGAGCTAAAAAGGTACTTTCTGTTGGAGACAGACATGGATGAAGGTTGAGAATAGGGAAGGGATTTGCTAATGCCTCTCCGTAATAAAGGTTTACTGCATAAATGAAAGTTCTGGAATATTCTCCCTCTAGGCATTCAAGGGTACTCTTATGCTATGATAATGAACTCATACATGGAGCTATGAAGACTAAAACGGGTTTGTTTGAGAAGTTGCCTTGGTCAGGAGAAACCCTGGGTGCTATGTATAGGACCTTATTGGGGGATATGGAGATGCTCAGGATACAGTCTAAGCAACCCACGTGCTTACAGGCTGATTAAGACACAGATCTCTACACAAAGCCCCATGATATAAGGTAGAATGTGGTAAAGGTTATCAGGGAGGCAAGAGGAAAGGCCATGCAGCCCAAAGGAGAAAAAAAATTATGGCTATGAAAGTCAAGGAGCGGTGAAACCTCATGGGCAGGCAATATTTGAGCTGGGCTTTAACCAATGGGGAGGAATTGGATAAAGGGGGTGTAGGAGGGGGGAGAATATCAGGTAGTGGGAATAATGAGCAAAGACACATGAAATTGATTGAAGAGCTTGATCAGGCCAGAGTGAGTCCTCCTGGAGCACTGGGTTTTGAAAAGTTCCTGTCCAAAGGACTTTCACCTCTCAAAGCCTAATTCTTCTTAATTTTTTTTAGTAAGAGTTTATCTGAACCTGGTGGGAGTGGCTCAGTGGTTGAGAGTCAACCTATAAATCAGGTGGTCACGGTTCTATTCCCAGTCAGGGCACAAACCCAGGTTTGGGGCTCCATCCCCAGCAGGGGGCGTGCAGGAGGCAGCCAATCAATGACTCATTACTGATGTTTCTCTCTCTCTCTCCCTCTCCCTTCCTCTCTCTGAAATTAATTTAAAAAACCCACATACACATTTAAAAGAGTTTATCTGAGCCAAATGCTTTGGTCTAAGTCTAATTCTTAATCTGCAAATGGGGATGACAGTATCCACCTCACTGGGTGGTTTGAGAAAAAATGCGGTATGTCCAACCTGGTGCCTGACTATTAACGGTTAGCTATTCTTCTATCAGTACCACTTGTGGCTATGGCTAAATAGGCTATGTTCTGGCAGGACAGAAAGGATGGGGCCACCCAGCCACAGAGGGAGGAAATATGAAGCTGGTTAAAGTCACTCCGTGAAGCTCAGGCTTCTTCCAAATAGCAGCCCCAGACTGAGTGCCAGGCAAGGAGGCTGCAGCCAAGGCAAAGCTTGGCCCTTATTTGCCAGGAATCGGTGAATCACTGTTAGGATGATGGAGTCAGGGGAGATCCTACAAGCCATCTACTCCAGCCTCCTCACTTTACAAGGACACTAGAGGCTGAGGCAGGAAGCAGGAAGGGACTTGGCCTAGGTCACGGTGGGTTGAAGTTCCCTTGGTGTCTCAACAAAGGTGGCTTCTTGAGAAAGGTTAAATAAGAAAACTTCCATGAAAACATCTAAGTACTTTAGTAGACCCTCAATATGTTAACTGCTACCACCACACACACCGCCATTATTATTAAAAGTCCTAAGCAGATGCAAGTGATGCTGTCTCCCAATGAAACCTGTTTCAAGATCTCATGATCAAAACTAATACTGTCAGGGAATAATGGCCAATCTCTCTGAGATGCCTTTCCTGGGTTTCCGTAGAAAAAAGATTAAAGACTTGTAACCTGAACCCCAGTTCTGTCTCTTACTGGTTGTGTCCTTAATAAAATAAGTTTGATTTGTTCATTTGCACAAATGGGGCTAATAATACCTACTTCATTGGGTTCTAGGGAGTATTAAATGAGTTAGTGCATATAAAATATTCAATGTCTGACACATCGTAAATACACAGTAAGTGACAGCTACTAGCACCATTAATAATATGCTTACTAGCAAGTGTCTGGTGTGTGTGTTTGTGTATATATATATATATATATATAGTAGGTGGTCAATTAATGCTCACCTTTTCTTCCATCCTATCCAGTCAGGCCAGGCCTGAAGCATGATATGGTTGATCTAGAACCAAATCTGATGAATATCATGGTTCACCTGGAACTAACCTGAAGCATGCTATGGTTGATTTGAAACTGCAGGATGGCTTCACAGAGGTTCCAAAACATGTATTCTGGCCACAGAACAGGCTGGAACACCAGGCAGGAGTGGGAGGTCTGAGAAAGGGGAAGAGGAAGAGAATTCAGTTTAGTAATTGGTTCCAAAGTAATTGGGCAGGGTTCCAAAGAAGGAGGCTGAGCAGGACACAGAAACCCAAAGATGAGATCGCACAGGCATCCTGAGCTGCAGCTGCTGCCACCAGTCCTGATTCACCCATAATAGGGGGAGGGGTCATCTGAGGCAGTTAGATCACCTGCCTGTAGCAAGGCAGAACTAAAACAAGACTAGACCAACACTTTCACCAGGATTTTTCTAGGAGCCAAATTTAAGACTATGAAATAACATCTGGATTATGTTATTGGCTCTTGGCCCTTAGAGGTTATCTGGGAAACACACTGTCTGATAAAAGTCAGCAATGAACAAATGGTAGCTGCCATTGTTACTTTTAAGAAGCAGAATGTGGCACAGTGGTTAAGAGCATGGGCTCTGGCACCAGACTGCCTGGCTTTGAATTCTGGCTCTCCCATTTACCATCTATTTGACTTGAGGCAACTTACTTAACCTCTCTGGTCCTCAGTTTCCTCAACAGTAAAATTGGGTAATAAAAATACCTTGTTTTTAAAGTACTATGAAAATTAAACAAGTTAATGTACATAAAGCAGTCAGAGCACAGAGCTGGATGAATTTTAATAACCACTGATGTGAGAATCCCCTTGGAACATTCTTGACAGCCACTGCTGCATACCTTTAGGGTATCCAGGAATTCGGTGCCTCAAGGGGGATAACTTTAGTTGTAGGATAGCTTGTGATGCTAAACCAATGCCACCTTCCCTGGAACTTCTACCATGGTCTCAGATCTTTTCTCTGGGACAATTTTGTTTCTTCTTCAAAGTGATATTTTTTCAAATATTTGCCTGTTATCTGTTGCCAAGGTTGTAATGAATTATTAACTTTGTCTTTGCCAACAAACTAAATTTTAAGACAGTAGGGATTATTTGTGACTTGGTTACTGTGATATTCCCAGATCAAAGCAGAAACTCAATATTTTTTTTCCAAGGCAAAAAACTGTCACCATGCTTCCCTTTTCTAGACCACTGTCTTTCACTCATTCCCTATAAGACATGAGTTCCAGATTCCTTGCCTCCTCTAGTTTACCAAGTAGTCTTAAAACTCAGTGCACAGAAATAAACTTTCCAGACATGATCTGACCAGCACAGTAAGCCACAGAACCATAAACTGTACATTATACTTTAATCAATATAGCCAAACACTGAAAGTATCTTCAGCAGTTAAATCTTGTTAGTTCACTTTTAAGACTATGGTCCATTAAAATTTCTAGAACTTTATCATGTGAATTGCTTCCAAGCTGAGTCTCTCCCTCCAAACTCTCCTTGAACAAAGACTTTCCCCTGTCATGTGTACCCAGGGGCCAAGTTAACAGATGACAGAGACTTTCAAGCAAAGACAAACTTATTTGACTCTGAACTTTTGGGGACTACCTACACTGGGGGAACTGAGAGACAATCGCCGCTAAGAAAGAGTCTGCATTTAGTTTATACCCCTTGTGGACTGTGCTTGCATAGATGCAGCCCTTTATTCTGAAGGAGACAGACTAGTAATTGCAAAGCAAGGTTCTAGCCCAGAGGAGCTGGGGTGCCTGGCAGGTTACCAGTCAGGAGATTATACTTAGGAACAAGTCAGAAGCCAGTTCCTTGAACAAGGGCACAGGTGAAGTTTTCATCGCAGCTGGATAGCCTTGATTTTTGTCCTCTAGCAAGAGCCACACAGGTTCACATAGCCAGCGACAGATGAGAAAGGGATAGCAAAGGCTGCCAGGCACAGCCTAGGAGACATTTCTCCAGATTTTAGGTCCCCTCTCCCACAAGGTTCTCTGGTGCCAACAATGACTGGGAATGAGGTGAGCCCCTTCAATCCAGCCTGTGGGTGCAATAGCAGTTTTCAGCTAACACAAACAGAATGGTGGTTAGAAACTACCTACCTGCCAGAGCAGGAAGTCACTGAGCCTCACTTCCCCAGAAGTCCGTATCAAGATGTCAGGATTAGGAGAGTGGTAGGTATAGAGGCACTTTTCAAGCAGAGACTCAGAGACATCGCTAAGGTAAGTGGAGAAGAGACAAAAATAAGCACACATCTCTTTTTGGATTATTCTCATGGTGACATAAGGCTTCCCAGATTATAGAATGTCATCAAATATATTAGTCAATACTACCTAGTACATAGAAGGCCCTCAGCAAATGCTTGATAAATTAATTAATAATTTTAATTCTCATAACTCCATAAGGTATTTCTATCCTCACTTTATAGGTAAGGAAACTGAGGTTCAAAGATGATCATTAGTTTGCCCAAAGTCATTTAGCCACAGGCCTAAAACCAAAAGCACCCACTAGAATGTGTTGCCCTTCACTTAAAACATCTTGTTTTTTTAAATGCATATACCTTATGACTCTGCAATTTGATGAAATACTATGCAACTGTTTTTAATGCAGATAAATTTAAATGCACTGATTGGGAAGATGTCTAAGATGTAATATTAAATGAGAAAAGCAATTTTCAGAAAAAACAGTGTGGAAAATACAAACTCAAATCATCATCCATGTGAATATATGTATATTTAAACAAAGAACAAAGCCTAGGAAGACACACACCATGCTACTAACAGTGATTACTTCTGGAAGGTTAGATACGAAGGAAGGAAAGATGATCTCTATTTACTTTATGTACATTTGTTGTTACTTGAATATTATAAATAACATTTTTTAAAACATTAAATTTAAGTAATATGGACCTTGAAACACTGCAAAGCCCCCACATTACTTAGGATTTGAACAAAACAAAGAAAACGGCAAAATTATCAGCCCTCCTATGTTTGATTAGAACTCCTTTCCCAGACAGACACTCAGAAGAAAGATGGAATGGAGAAGAATGGGACTGGCAGCCTTTATTATAAGTAAAACTTTCCTGTCCTGAAAAGAGAATATTTGCAAGGCTGGTGTCTGTTGGTTCCAAGAACACCGTTTATCTTGCATACCAAGTGCCCAGAGGCAGAATTTGAAATCTCCAAGTGCTGCATTTGAAATCTCCGAGTTGCATCTTGTAAAGCCAAAATTTGCATCTCTAGAAGATACATTTCTTGGTGGCAACAATCTTTTGGGAGTATAGTAAAAAATGCAGAGATCTGGGCTGAGTGTTCAAAACAAGATTCTATACTTACTAGCTGTGTGCCTTTGGTTAAGTTATTCCACCTCTCAGTCATCTTTTTACAAAACACAGAGGGAGCTTTATTTTCAGTACCATCACAAGGGAAACAATATTCAATTATGACTGGGCAATTGGAAGGGCTTTGGTTCAGATTTCCCCGATAATCTTGGCAGCATGGTCTTAATTCTCTAATTAAGAAATGTGAGCCCTGGAAGCTTTGGCTTAGTGGTTAGAGCGTCGGCCTGTGGACTGAAAGGCCCCTGGTTCAATTCCCACCAAGGGCATGTACCTCAGTTGCAGGCTCAATCCCTGGCCCTAGTCAGGGCTTGTGCGGGAGGCCACCAGTCGATATGTCTCTCTCACATTGATGTCTCTCTCTCTCTCTCTCTCTCTCCCTTCCACTCTCTCTGAAAAACAATGGAAAAAATATCCTCAGGTGAGTATTAAAAAAAAATGAGACCCTGTACAATCAACATACTCAGATGTCTTATCTTTGAAATGGGCACATTTATCTTACCTACTTATAGATTATTGTGAGGGTCAAATCAAATGAAAAATAGATTTGAGTAACAAGAACTATACCACACTTTGCTGTGTGACTTTGGATCCCCACTTAACCTTTCTGAGTTTCAGGCAGTGAGCAGAATTCTTATCAAAACCATGGTAACTCAAAGGGGGGAAAGATAAAACTGACAAAATGAAAATAGAACATCTGTGCTATGGCCAACAAAAATCTACCACTAGCCCAGCCAGCGTGGCTCAGTGGTTGAGCATCGACCTATGATCCAGGATATGGGGGTTTGATTTCCAGTCAGGGCACATGCCCGGGTTGTGGGCTCGATCCCCAGCAGGGGGCATGCTGGAGGCAGCCAATCAATGACTCTCTCTATCCATTGATGTTTCTCTCTCTCTATCCCTCTCTCTGAAATCAATAAAAAAAAATATATAAAAAAATACACCACTAAACGGCCTTAGCTGTTTGCATAAAGACTTTTAAATAAAATACCAATTTCACCTATAAAATTAGAATAGTTTACATTTAAAAAAATCTTGGCAAAAATAAGGTGAAATGGACACATATAGGTGCAGATCTTTTTTTTTTTAAGAATTCTCGTGAGTTTATTTGAGCAAACTGTCAACACATGCAAGGAAGCAGAAGCTCAACGAATTGAGATAATGCTCCAGAGAATAGCAGTTTTGCACCTTGTTTTATACATTACAATCAAAACAGGAGACATAAGTGGGTTACATGAAATCCATTAGTGATAGATTAGGGAGGTGGAAGAAAGCAAAGCAGGGAAATCTCTGGGATTGGGTAAAAAGTAAAATGATAGACACACACTTCTTTTACTTAGATGGGTGCAGGGTAGTTAATAGTCAAAACAGGTGCAGATCTTGAGGAAACAATCCAAAATGCAGACAAGAGTTCAAAGTTTTAATTACAGCATTAATTGTAAGAATGAGAAATTGGAAACAACCTGCATAATCAACAAATAGCTGAATGGTTAAGTAAATTAAAGCAAGATATATTCTGTAGCCATTAAAAATAATATGAATTGTTAAAAACAGGACACGGAAAAGCGCTCATATTACAACATTAAGTGGACAAAGCATGATTCAGGTTGTAAACAGTTCACAGTGTGATTTCTTCTGTTATAAATATTTGTAATAATTGGATTTGTTTTATAAAGCATTGCTTATGAAAAACAATTAAAAAAATATACATCTATTGATTTTCAGAGAGGAAGGGGGAGGGAGAGCAATAGAAACATTAATGATGAGCCCAGCCGGGTATGGCTCAGCGGTTGAGTGTCAACCTGGGATCCAGGCGATTAGGGTTCGATTCCCAGTCAGGGCATATGCCCGGGTTGTGGGCTTGATCCCCAGTTGGGGGTGTGCAGGACGCGGCCGGTCAATCACTCTCTCATCATTGATGTTTCTATCTCTCTCCCTCTCCTTTCCTCTCTCTGAAATCAATAAAGACATATTTAAAAACAAAACAAAACATGATGAGACAGTCACTGATCTGCGGCCTCCTACACGCCCCCTACTGGGGATCAAGCCCGCAACCTGGGTATGTGCCCTGACTGGGAATACAACCGAGATCACCTGGATCCTAGGTCAATGCTCAACCTCTGGGACTCTCTCGCTGGGCGGATGTGTGTTTAAAAAGATGATTCTGGCTGAACTCCCAACCACGGGTGATCACTACTTTTGTCGTATTTCTGTATGGGATAATGAAAATGTGCTGGAAATAGTGGTGATGATTATACAAACTGTGAATATACTTTATGCCACTTAATTCTATGCTTAAAAATTGTTAAAATAGCCCAGCCGGGAGTGGCTCAGCGGCTGAGCGTCGACCCAGGATCCAGGCGATCAGGGTTCGATTCCCGGTAAGCGCACATGCCCACGTTGCGGGCTTGATCCCCAGTCGGGGGTGTGCAGGAGGCAGCCGATCAATGACTCTCTCATCATTGATGTTTCTATCTCTCCCTCTCCTTTCTTCTCTCTGAAATCAATAAAGATATATTTAAAAAAAAAATTGTTAAAATAGCCCTGGCCAGTGTGGCTCAGTTGGTTGGGCATTGTCCTGTGCACCAAAAGGCTGCTGGTTCAATTCCTGGTCAGGGAACATGTCTAGGTTGCAGGCTCGATTCTGGGAGAGGGTGTGCAGGAGGCAGGCAATAGATGTTTCTTTCTCTTCCTCCCTCTCCCTTCCTCTCTCTAAAAAAAATAAAAAATCTTTAGGAAAAAAATTGTTAAAATAGTAAAATCTATGTTATGTATATCTTATCACAATGTTATAAAAAGTAGAACATCTTCTGGAAGAATATGGGCACAAGTATTCAACAAGAAAATGGCTCCTCCCTAATAAACTATGTATTTCAGGAAATGGTGAATCTAAAATAAAGTCAGTTTAAAACCTATAATGGAAATATGGCAACAGCCTCCAGAAGGGAGACCTGGTAACAGTGAATGCCAACAAGAGAGTGGATGGCCTAGCATCAGGAAAAAAGGAGAGTACGAATGTGTTAATGCTCTGCCAGTATGGTGCCACTGGCTGGAGCACTGTCCCGTATACTAAGACACGGTGGGTTCAATTCCCAGTCAGGGCACATACCCTGGTCGCAGTTCCATCACTGGCCGGGGCACACGCTGAGGCAACTCATGGATGTCTCTTTCTTTCTCTCTCCCTCCCTCCCTCCCCCTCTCTCTCTCAAATAAGTAAAAACAACAATAACAAAATAAATAAAGGTAAGCAAAAATCTTAAAAAAAAGAAAAGAATAGGTTAGTGTGTTCCCAGTACCATTTTGGAAAGGTAGGCCCATTCTAGAAGGTATAGATACATGGAAATGTGCCCTGTGATAACAACGTAGTACATTTCTCTAGCATTTAATTTGTAAAGAAGGTGAAAAACATAGGCTTTGGAGGTAGATATACCTGAGCTGGAGTCCAGGCTCTTTCATTCAGTAGCATATGTGACTTTGGGTAGGTCAAATAACCTTTTTAAACCTTAGTTAACTGATCTTATAAAATGGGGCAAATAATAGTACCTTACATGAAAATTAAATGAGAATATGTGTGATAAACTCTTAGCTAGTGCCTGCCTCATAATAAGATCCAATAAATATTAGTAACTTTTATTTTTATACTGTTTTTGCTCACTCCAACCTTCCTATATATGGCACTCAGTATACCATAGAGAATGAAAGAGCAAGCAGGTTGAAATCCTGGCCCCAAGCTTTGTAAACTAGATGAACAAGTTATTTAACTTCCCTGTGTCTCAATATTCTCATCTTTAAATAAAATGGGGATAAAAACAGTATCTACCTCATAGCCTCTACGGGTTATATAAAATAACATATGTGGAGTACATGGAAGATGCCTGGCAAAGAGTAAATGCTCAGTAAATGTTAGCAATTATTAGTATTATTAACACTATTGTTTTAAGAGGAAGACAGAGACCTACAGGGGATCAAGTGACCTGCTCAAAGTAACTCAGTGAAAGAGAGTTTAACTATCCTTTATGTTCAACCTAATCCCTTTTCTATAATTCCAGACTCAAAAAACAATCTAACATTAATATAATTGTTAGAAAAAAAATGTACCCTAGAAGAAAGGAAAATGAGGAGTTGGATGATGGTAATGAGAGAATAGAAAAATACAGCTATTGGAAGGGTAGAATCTAATTGTAATGAACTTATCAACTCTGTTATAAATACAGATTTGTCTAAATTTGAATAATGTAAAGAGCACTGCCTCAGGCCCTGATGAGACCAGTCTTAGCTGAACACCAAGCTTGTGGATGGAGACATCAACCTCCTGACACTGGTGACCCTGCTCGACCCACACCATGTCTGCATGACTAACCCCACATAGGCAAGTTACTAAACCATGCAGGGCAGAGAAAACAGATATGGGAAAACTTGCTAGACAAGAAACAGAAAGAAGATAAAGGTCAGTGGTTACTGGAATGTGGTATGAGTATAAAGTATGCTAAACTAGGAGTCAAGATCAGAATTTTAGTCCTAGGCATGAATGCATATTACACCTGCTTGCTCAATAGCTTGCTTGCTAGCATAAATATTTGTCCCTTACTATTTTTTTATATATTCCTTATTATTTTTAATATACAGTTGACAGATTCCACATATAAGTAGACCCGCACAATTCAAACTCGTGTTGTTCAAGGATCAACTATATTTCTTTTCTTTTTTTTAAATATATCTTTATTGATTTCATAGAGAGGAAAGGAGAGGGATAGAGAGATAGAAACATCAATGATGAGAGAGTCACTGATCGGCTACCTCCTGCACGCCCCCGACTACAGATCAAGCCCGCAACCTGGGCATGTGCCCTGACAGGGAATCAAACCCCGATCGCCTGGCCGGGCCCAACTATACTTCTAATCCATGGTTAGGAATCCAAGGTTGCAGACGGCAGACTGTAGTTATATGTGGATTTTCAACTACGTGGGCGATAGATGCCCTTAACCCCTACACACAAAGTTCAAGGATCAACTGTATTATTTCATTCACACAAAAAAACTATATGAAACATTAATTATAAAGCACAATATTATAATGAACAATTATGAAATCACCCCCCCAAACCAAGAATTAGAAAATTACCAGTAACTTGTTTCTACTTACATATCCTTCATCTATTTATATATCTTATCTTCTTGCCTAGTCCCCACCCAGCCAACTTGCTTAGTATCTCAATTTTCCCAACAGTTAATTTTTTTTCTTATTTAAAAATTTTTTATTTATTGAATTTTAGAGAGCAAGGGAGCGAGAGAAACACTGACTTGCTGCTCATTTATTTATGCATTCATCGGTTGATTCTTGCATGTATCCGGACCAGGGATCAAGTCTGCAGCCTTGGTGTATCAGTTGGTATTGATGCTCTAATCAACACCAACTGAACTACTCGGCCAGGACCCAATAGTTAATTTTCAATCCGCATCTTAACTGACCTCCTTACAGCATTTGCAGTATTGCTCCTACCAGTGCCCATGCCCTCCTGACCCACACTTGACCCTATTTTCTTGACTTCTCTAACGATTGCCTGACTTTTCTTCCTACCTTTCTGGTTGTTTACTCTTTCTTCCTTAAGGCTCATGCTCCTCTACCCAGACAGTAAAACTTAAGAGTTTCTCAAAATTCCATCCTAGGCCCTCTCTTCTTCTTACTCTAGGTGCTCCTTAGCTTCCTCATGCCCTCTCTTTGCTTTTTACCACCTGCACACAGATGATCTCCACACTGATATCTCCAGTCCCCACCTCTCTTCTCAACTGTTGACCTGATATCTATGTTCAATATCTACGGCACATCCCAAACCAAACCCCTGACTGTCCTCAAACTGGATCCTTTCTCAGGGTTCCCTAGCACAGTAAAGGGTACCATTATCCACTGTTTTATAGTCAAAAACCCTTAACACATCCTTTTCCAGAGTCAGTCCATCAAGTCCTCTTGATTTTATCTACTTTGTAGCTCTTGATGTAATCTATTCAATCTATTCCACCATAATCCAAGCTCCCTTCCAAGTTCTTTGTACTTAAATTATCTCAAGAGCCTTCCAATAGTCTTTCTGTAACCAACAAGCCGTTCACGCTACTGCCTCTTTCCCCAGTAACTGCTTGTTTTTCCTCCTTAGATGACTTCTCATTTCCTTGGGGGAGCCTTCCCTACCAGGTCTGTTCCTCTTATTATAAATTCTTATACCATGCACCAATGCCTTTATAGCATTTATCACCATTATAATTTTATGCTAATTTGTATAATCTTGATTAATATCTGTTTCCCTTACCAGAACTCCACAACAGCAGGAAATATGTATTTTTATTCTTACCACTATATCCCCCATGTATGGCAATGTTCCTGCCCTTAAGTTGGCACCTAAAAGATATCTGTTGAATAATTGGTTGAATGAATAAACTATGTGGCACAGAAAGATCACTTAGCTGTTGGAAAGGAGAGGGAGGTATAAAATAGCCTTAAAATTTGTCTCCTTTCCTTCTTACCTAATTCCATTCTCACCAAGAAACTTCTTGATTTTTAATTTCGTTTCCCAGGTAAACCGAATTATGCCTGAGAAGGGATCAGAAAAATTCCTGGGTCCCAACATCCCATGTAATAGAGATAAAGGACAAGAACTCTGGAATCAGACAGCTTGAGATATGAGTCCTTGCTCTGGTACTTAAGCAGAATGACCTTGGGAAAGTAACTTCAATGCTGAGCTCAGTTTTCTCATCTATTAAATGGAGAAAAGACTCAAATCTCTAACACTTGAGATTAATGACTTAATAAAATACAAAACATAACAGATTGCCTGGGTGATTTTTTGCTACCATTACTTTACTATTGCTCTTATTAGTTTAATAACATGAGAGGGACTAAGTAGCCAGGTGGCTTCTAAAGTCTCTCCCAGCTCTAATAATTAGGATTCCATTATGTTGCTAATGATAAACAATTTTCGTTTTGAAAAATATCTGAATCTTGCATAAAACTGTAACATGAGCCCGGCTGGGCGTGGCTAAGCAGTTGAGCATCAACCCAGGGTCCAGGCAATCGGGGTTGGATTCCAGGTCAGGGCACATGCCCAGGTTGCGGGCTTGATCCCCAGTCAGGGGCGTGCGGGAGGCAGCCGATCAATGACTCTCTCATCACTGATGTTTCTTTCTCTCTCTCCCTCTCCCTTCCTCTCTCTGAAGTCAATAAAGATATATTTAAAAAAACACACACAAAAAACAAAACAAAACTGTAACATGAGAGACCTAAGGTACTATTCCTCCAACAAACTGCATTCCTGAAAAACATTCATGAAAAACACTGCCAAAGGGTCAGGAAGGTATCATTTTTCATTGAATACCACAGAATTCTACCTGTTATGCCATTTTTCTGGGGCTTCTTGGTGTGTAGTGAACACAGAGAAATTCTGAAGCAGGCTATAATAAGCCAATTCTAAGCTCTTAAGTATGAGGGGCCCCCATCAACCTTTCTACATGCATACCCGATTTGACTTCTGGCCCAAGAACACGGCTTAGAAGGGATTTCACGGTTAGGTGCATACCTGGTTTCCCTATCAGTTAGCATACTACACAACTAGGGATACCTGGGATCCAACAGACCCTGCTCCACTCCCCAGGCCATCTCTCTCACAGCATTGCTGATCTCGTGACGGGACGTGTATGCAAAGCAGACGTTCAGGAAACACCTGAGGAGGAAGAACAGAATAATTGACCAAAGGAGGGCAGGGACTAAGGACTGGAACCACTGATTCCAGAGTACCCCTTCCCTGGAAGAAAACACATAAATGTTAACCATGGACACCTCTGAAAGGTCAGATTATGAATTTTTTACTTAAATTTATTGGGGTGACACTAGTTAACAAAATTATACAGGTTTCAGGTACACAATTCCACAACATATCATCTGTACACTGTATTGTGTGTTTATCACAAGTCTCCTTCCATCACCATTTATCCCTATACCCTCCACCCCCACCCCCAAGACCATGAATTTTTTGTTTTCCAAGTTTTCTTAGAAAAAACATGTCACTAGTTTTGTAATAAGACAAGTACTAAATGACCCTTATTACCCTTCTAACCCTCTCCCTTCTACTACCAACCAGCTTTTAGAGGAAGGGAATCCACTGTGATATTAGCACAAAGGAGATCAGAAAGGAAATTTGATGCAAAACAAATCCACAGCCAAACATACCCTATATTCCAAAGCCACACAAATGAAGTTTGGATGATTGAACTCTGTTTCCCTCTGCATCTGCACCACCTCCCAAGGTCATTCTATCCGTGATTATAGGAGTGGGACAGAAAAAGAATTTCTTGAAGGAACTGTCTTCAGAGACAGGGATAAGGCTTGCTGCACTCCACCCCATCCCTTGGTGGGGTGGTGAGGCACATGAAATGGAGGAGAAAGAAGATGGGAAACTGTACAAGTTGGGTATACATACATCATGGTACTGCAGATGGAGGAGGTCTCTAGGCATCCTAAACCACCCCCTCATTGCCTCTGTTCCAAAAGCAGACCAAGGACGTCTTTCAGTAGAGGGAGTCAAAGACTGATTCAGGTTCCCAAGGGGAAATCTGAAAACTTACTGGTTGTAGTTCTTGGTGGCCTGCACAGCTTGTGCAATCAGCTCCTGCAGATCCAAGGGCAACAGATGCAGATCACCTAGGACCCGGATACATACCCCATGCTTCTGCAGTTTCTCCCTGATTGAGGAAAAGGAGGCAGAGTTGGGACACAGCACCTGCTGAGCTAGAGAGAGCCTGGTGCTTAGATGATACTCAATTACCAGTTTTTGAGTGCTTTCCTGTGGGGCAGGCACTGTTCTACACGTATTATTGCACTGCATCCCCTCAATGAGTCTGAAAGAGTTCACCACATTCCCCATTCTAAAAAGGGAAACTGAGGCTCAAATAGGATTCTCAGACAGGGATTACCAAAGATCATATAGACATCAAGTGTTGCGTCAAGATTGAAACCCAGGTTTGTCTGATTTGAAAATCCAAACTCTTTACCACACATGAGCTTGCATTTTACATATTCTGTGCTATGTTTGTCCCTCTTTTTTGTTTGTTTGTTGTTTTTGTTAATCCTCACCCGAGGATATTTTTTCCATTGATTTTTAGAAAGAGTGGAGTGGAGGGAGGGAGGGGGAAAGGAAAGGAGAGAGAGAGAAACATCTATGTGAGAGAGACACATCAATTGGTTTCCTCCAGTATGAGCATCGACTAGGGCCAGGGATCAACCTGCAACCCAGGTATGTGCCCTTTGACAGGGAATCAAACCCACAACCCTTCGGTGCACAGGGCGATGCTCTAACCACTGAGCCACACTGGCCAGGGCTGTTTGTCCCATTTTGACAAGTGAATAACTCCTCAGGGGCAGGAGCTGTATTATTGGTTACTTTTGTATCTTCTGGCAAAATATGATAATAGCAACATCTAAAAGTAATCATATGTTTACTAAGTGCCAGACAATGGTCTAATGGTTTTTTACACATCAACATGTCCCATCCTTACACCAACCTTGGAGGCAGGTATCGTCATTCACCTTTTACAGATGAGGAAACTGAGGCACAGGGAGGTTGGGTGATTTGCTCAAAATCAGAAGCTGGTGAATGAAAAGCCAGAATTTGAACCTAGGGAACCTGGTTCCAGAGCCTGTCTTCCTAATTATGACATTACACTGCCTCTATACAGCAACTCCCATAAGACAGTGAGCACAAATTCACTGTCACCCAACCAGCTTCTCTACCTGGGGAGGCTATGGAGAAACTGAATGACTAATGTTTGGAAAACGGGAGCTTAATAACCAGAACTATACTGCAGAGCGGTGATACCCGGCAGGTCCTGGAGAACCCTGATCCAACCACATTTCTTCAAGGGTGAAACAAGATCAAACCACCTATTTCTGAGAACACACTGGAGCTACAAATGTATACACAAATCAAGGGAAAATGTGAATAAAAATATCTAGATTCAAGTCCTAGTGCCAGAACTTACTAGCTGACCTTGCATAACCACTTAGCCTCTCTGAGCCTGTTTCCCTCACCCTGTAAACTGGGGTAACCAGCCCTGCCATACTCTCAGCACTGGCTGTGTTCAGTGAGGAAAAGCACATGCATATGCTTATTCTCAGAAATCAGGTGCATGACTTGAGTGGGGTCTGTAAAGGAGATTACTGCAGCCTGGCCGGAGTGGCAGCTGAGCATCATCCTGTGCACGGAAAGGCTGCCAGTTCGATTCCTGCTCAGGGCACATACCTGGGTTGCGGGTTCGATCCCCAGTCGGAGCACGCACAGAAGGCAACCAATCGATGTTTCTCTCACATCAATGTCTGTCTCTCTCTGTCTTCCTCTAAGCATGTCCTCAGGTGAGTAGTTAAAAAAAGAAAATAATAAAGTAGAGGTTATTGAAAAGCCCTGGTGAGGAGCCTGGAGACCTGGGTTGCCAATCTGACTCTGCCACTAGCTTGCTGTGTAACCATAGGCAAGCCTTTCTCTTCTCTTCACTAGGGTTTAGCTTTCCAACTGATGAAACTGAACTAGGTCAGTGATTTTCCAACCTTTTTAGCCAAAATACTTTCTTAAAATCAAATCATAAACAGAAGCAAACCAGCACCCTATACCTCATTCCCTCTGGGTTCTTTGCACACCCACTCCTAGAACTCAGGTTCTATGGCACATTGTTGGAAAACCACCACTAGGATTTCTTCTTGCTCTGTCCAGGACTTCATAACCAGAGACTGTTTCTTTCACTACTCACTGATTAGAGCAATCTCAGTAGCATGTCTACTGCCATGCATTTTGATCTTTCAGGAACTGAAAGATTGCCTCCTGACTCTCAAAGTACAGAGTTGTAGGCAACAGCTCAGAGCTGGAGTCAAAAAGACCCTGTCTGATTGGCTCTGCCTGTCTAATAGCTGTGTGACTCAGGATACACACCTAAACTTCTCCAGTTTTTACTTTCTTCCTCTCTACAATTGGGATGATCTCTTTCTCACAGGATAATGTGAATATTAAATGAGAATACATGTTAGGTTCAGGGCCTGGCACAAACTATAACTATTTTAAAAAGGTAAGGCTAGCCCTGGTTGGTGTGGCTCAGTTGGTTGGGTGTCATCCAGTACATCCAAGGATTGCAGGTTTGATTCTAGGTCAGGACATATGCTCAGATTGTGGCTCAATCCTCGGTCAAAGGTGTGCAGGAGGCAGCTGATCACTGTTTCACTCTCATATCGATGTCTCTCTCCCTCTCCCCACTTCTTCTCTCTTTAAAAATCAATGAAAAAAATCTTAAAAAAAAAAAAAAAGGAGCCTGGCTGGTGTGGCTCAGCGGTTGAGCATTAACCTATGATCTAGGAGATCGAGGTTCAATTACCAGTCAGGGCACATGCCTAGGTTGCGGGCTCAATTCTCAGGGGTGGACATGCAGGAGGCAGCCTATCAATGACTCTCTCATCATTGATGTTTCTATCTCTCTCTCTCCCCTCCTCTCTCTGAAATCAATAAAGACATATTAAAAAAAAAAAAAGGTAAGATTAATGTAAAGTACAGAAGAATTTGGACACATGGAATATGCACTCATGCCTCCATCCCCAGCCACTTGGGTGTGAACTCTGAGCCACAGGGACTCTGCTGAGAACCAGGGAGAACATCTGTGGCCCAGAGTCTCACCATTTAAAAAAAATATATGTTTTTATTGATTTAGAGAGAAAGGGAGAGGAGAGATAGAAATATCAATGACAGAAACATCGATTGACTGCCACCTGCATGCCCCTCATTGGAAATCGAGCCCCCAACCCGGGCATGTGCCCTGACTAGGAATCGAACCAGTGATCTGGTTGCATTGGTTGACACTCAACCACATTAACTGACACAGGGACAGACAAGACAGAAGTGTTCTAGGTCCAGCTCCACTGGAGCTCTAGCTGCTCTCTCATCGTCCTGGTATGCAAAGGAGCTGGGCAGAGGAAGGATTGTAATGAAGACTTTTGGGCAGTCTGGCTGGAAAGGCTTCCATACTTTAAAGCAAAAAACTCCATCTCTCTTCTGTGTCCCTTTCTGGCTCTACTCCCTAAGTTAAGCTTAAACTTAATGACAGCTAAAAGTGGTACTGACACTTCCCCATAAAGGCCTCATGCATCATCCCATGCGTTCCAAGAGAATATAGTAACTTTTTAGGGATGAGTGCACAGCAGAAAATGCCTTTTTCAGTGTTTCTCTCACTCTACTCTCCTGGCCACAGCTTACTGGTCCTGGGGTAGAAATTTGATCTAAGGTGGGCTAATGAAAGGATTTAGTTCATTCTGGGCTGTCTTGTTAAGCAGGGAAAGCAGGTCCATAAAAGAAGGAAATATACAAAGAGGCTCTACCTAATGGCTATCAATCCTGGTTTAAAGTTTTGCTTGAGACTGGTTGTACTTGTCCTTGAATTCTGTGAAATACCTCTATATCCTCAAATAAATGCCCCCTTTGAAAAAACAAAAGGAAAAACTAGCTTGCCATATTTGCCACTGTAGAGATCTAACACGAAAAGGGTGCAAAGTTCCTTAAATAAGCCTCAGATAAGAGAGTTGAGGGTTAGGTTAGGCTGGAGGTCCTGTAAGAACATGCTCTCCCCGTTGATAGCATCTTACTGTTCTTCCAGCAAACGGCCGAACTTCTGCCGGGCCATATCCATTAGCCCGGCTACTTCACTCTTGGAACGTTTGAAGTTCTCAATGCTGAACGCGTACACCGTCACCTCTCGGATGCCCAGGTTCAAACACCAGTGCAGAGTCTGAGAAGGGAGAAGACAAGGAGCTAGGGTGCAAGAAAGAGTGGGAAGGGAAATAAGGGATGCTTCGGCCCTGACTCAGTGCTTCTGTCAGAATAATGAACCAAATATGCAGAAAGCCACCACCTGAGAAAATGAAAATGTGAACTTAATGAGTAGCACTAAGCTGATGCCACTGTGGTCCACTGGAAAGAAGTTTTCACTGAGAGAATGAAAAACTAGTTCTAGTCCTTGGCTCCATCATGCACTTGTTATGTGACCGTAGGCAAATCATTTAACCTCTTGGGGCCTAAGTCTTCTTATCTGTAAAAAGAGATCACAATTCATCCCTCACAAGGTGGCTAAAGAACAATATAAAAACACAAGGTGCCCTGGCCGGTGTGGCTCAGTTAGTTGAGCGTCGTCCCATGCACCAAGAGGTCACTGGTTCAATTCCCAGTCAGGGCACATGCCCAGGTTGCAGGCCTGATTCCCAGTATGGTGTGCGCAGGAGGCAGCCAATCAATGTATCCCTCATCTATGTTTCTATCTCTTCTCCTCTCTCTCCCTTCCTCTCTCTAATAATCAATAAAAAACATATTAATAATAAATTTTAAAAAACAAGGTATTACTAACACCATAACTTCATTATTCTGGTAAACAGAGGCTAATTGGTTATAAGAAAAAAAGCAACAATTGCACAGCTGTGCAGCATTTGAGTCCGCAAAACGTTTTCACATATGCTACTTCAACTGATTCTTCAAACAACCGCTTGAGATTGGCATTATTGTTTTCATACCTACTTTATAGATGATAAAACTGAGGCTCAGAGAGTTGAGGAAATGTGTCAAAAGTCCACAATGAGCCCGGCTGGGAGTGGCTCAGCGGTTGAGCGTCTACCTAGGATCCAGGCAATCGGGGTTCGATTCCTGGTAAGGGCACATGCCTGGGTTGCCAGCTCAATCCCCAGTGGAGGGCGTGCAGGAGGCAGCCGATCAATGACTCTCTCATCATTGATGTTTCTATCTCTCTCTCTCTCTCTCTCTCCCTCTCCTTTCCTCTCTCTGAAATCAATAAAGATATATTTAAAAAAAAAAAAAAAAAAAGGTACACAATGAAACTATTATATGAAGTTCTAGAATGACCAAAACTAATGTATAGTGATAACTCTTCAGCTTCTTTTCTTCAGTTCTGTTTGAATGTCTTCTACCTCCCACCTTTAACCTCTAGGTTCCCTATCTTAACACTAATCCCTTCTTAGATATGCACACAAACCAATTCACTGTCACCTTAAGAAAATTACCAGTGAGAACCTGACACTTGAATAGGCTCAAGCTACAGATCTTACAGGGTCTTCGCTGGTACACCTTGGTTGGAATCCATCACTAACCTCAGTCAAAATAGATGCCAATAGTCTGCTTTGCCTGTGGAATTGCCTCTCTCTGTCTCAGTGCTTCACTAATAAACTCTCTTTCACTTAAAAAAAGAAAACAAGATGCCAATAACAACAGCTTCAATTTTTGAGTCCTTTGCTCCAGAAATGCTACTTCTTAGAATTTATTCTAAAATAGTACTATTTATAATGTCCAATAATAGTGGAGCAGCTATACAAATTGTCAGATCTTTACGATAAAATGCTCTACAGCCATTAAAACATGTAGTTAGAAACTCTATATAATCAACCTAGAAAAATACTTGCCATAGTGTTAAGTAAAAACAAGGTTATTGAAGCTACAGATGTAATTTTATAAATGTTAAGTCATGTTAGAACGAGTTACACAGACTCGGATGAGGCACAGAAAAAAATAAACTGTTGATTGGTTGAAGGTGGTTAAGAAGAGGCAATTTTGTTCATATTTCTATTTTGTGATAAGTTACTGGATGATTTCATTTTTTGTTAATGTTGATATAGGACCTATAGCTAGCAAGCAAGCAATAAAACAAACAGCTATAAAAAACTCTCAAAAAAGTAAATAGCCCAGCCAGGGTTGCTCAGTGGTTGAGCATCGACCCAGGAACCAAGAGATCACAAGTTTGATTCCTGGTCAGGGCACATGCCCAGGTTTCGGGTTCATTTCCCAGTAGGGGGCATGCAGGAGGCAGAGGACTGATGTTTTTCTCTCATCGATGTTTCTATCTCCCTATCCCTCTTCCTTCCTCTCTCTCTAAAGTCAATAAAAACATATTTTAAATGAATGAATGAATAGAAAAAAACACTCAAACCACAGCAAACTCAGATTTTCTAGCTATAATCCAATTTTCCACAGACTGTTCACCTTGGGTTCTGCCACTCACACCCACCTCAGCCAGCTTGTTGAAGCCCTGTAAGTGGCCCTCCTGACGCTCCACTTGGCACTTCTTGGCATAGCGACGGTTCCCATCCATTATAAATGCAATGTGTTTGGGTATTGGGCCTGCCTGTGAAGTAAGAAGACAAATGATGAACACATCACATACTCTTCAAAGATAAAGGGAGACCTTACACCCTAAACTGATAGGCTTGAGCTAGATGATAAAAGCCCCCAGGAAGGGAATTGGGCATTAAGCAATTTACTTTTTATTTTTAAAAATTGATTTTAGACAGGAGCGGGGTAGGGAATGATCCCAAAACCTAGGTATGTGCCCTGACCAGGAATCAAATCTGCAAACTTCTAGGGAAAACGCTCCAACTGAGCCACACTGGCCAAGGCTATTTATTTTTATTCATATGTTTATTATGCACTTATTACATGCCAACCACTATTCTATTATACCTCGCCTTAGTCTTTTTGTCATCCAAATCTATAAAGTATATAGTATTAGCTTCATTTTACAAGTGAAAAAACTGAGGTTCAGAGAGGTCAAGTGACTTGCACAAGTCACACAGCTAAGAGGCAAAGTGGGGATTTAAACTAAGGTTAAATTAGCTTGGATTTGTTTTTCAGCCACAGATTGTCAAGTAGTGGGTAGCGATGAATTTATGAGTCAAAAAGCCTTTTACCCACTTACACAATACACTAACACACAAATGCCAAGGTTACTCAGGCAGGCGAAGATATGGAAATATCTCTTCAGGCAACCACTGTAGTCATGTGTTGGGAAGAGGAAGCTGCGTGACTTTAAAAGGATGCTGTGGGCTCACCTTTATGATGTTGGCACAGAACCGCTCCCACAGTGACAACTTTCCTTCCTTGATCCATGACATAGTTCTTGCCCAAGCAGAAGCCCAGAATAAGAAGATATCAGCTAGGTAACCTTGAATAAACAAGAAAGAGAATCAGAAGCCACCAAAGCTTGCAAACAGCTATGGCTGACTTGTAGGGATTAGCCAGGGCAGTGGAGTGCAGCCAGCATTAGAACCCAAAGAGACTGGTCTATACCTCCAATCTTTCACCACCCAGAGTCTGTAAGTAAGCCAACGGGACCTTTGGGGCTGAGGCCTTTCCCTGGCTCCCTAGCTTGGTGGACACCTTGCTCCCATCCGTTTTCCTCGGTATCTGCACTGGCTTTTTCAGAACCTCTAAGTCTGCTGCCTGCCATATCACAGTGCCTACACACCGGTCCTGGTCCTTTCCTGCGTATTCCTTCTCCATCTTCCCCCAGGCCATGTCCCATTCTCTGCGCTCCCAGTTACTAACCCCTTCAGCTGTCACCCTTGTTACTTCCCACCTCAGTGGTTTCCCGATTTTTATCCCCTCACGTATCTTTTCCACTGTTCCCTCTGTCATTCCCATGGCTGCCTCCCCGTCCAGTCACCTCTCTCCTCTGGTTAACCGCTAGAACACAGAATCTGCTCGGCTCCTCCCGGCGCCTTCCAACAGCTCTTTGGGACCAACACTTCCTCACGACGTGGCGCTGGGCGATTACGTCATCGTGGCGCGCAGGGACACGCCCCGCCCCTTGATGGGCGTGGCCCCGCCGGGCGCCTGCGAGCACGGAGGAGGAGCGGCACCGGCGTGCAGCGCAGCAATTCGCGCTCCCGGAGGCGGGGAAGAAAGCGCGCTCACGAGACTGACGGGGTGGGCGGCCCCGCGCTGGGGAAGGCGGGGTCGCGGCCTCCTGGGGGCGCGGAGAGCTTGTTAGACCCGGATTGGGAGGCCTCAAGTGGGCTATCCTGCAAGGCAGGAATTCGGGGCCCGCCACGACGGAAATGGAAGGGCTTCTCAGCTGCTGGTGGCCGAGAAATGGTTGTAAAGCAGCTTCCTGCACGCCCGAAGGCCGCGGAACGGAGCTTTACAGCCCCTGTACAGGTCTTAGGGGATTTAATCGTTTGGGAAGTTTCCAGCCCTCGTCCTTCACACAGACGCACTTAATACCAATACATTTGTGCTGATTTAAAGCACTCGGATTTCAGGATTTGCAGATTCTCAGGACCTACCCAAAGGAAAAGTTTTGAAGCCAGAGAGAGCTCTGCTCTAAGGACTTCTAATATTAAATGACAGAAAGGCCATCAGTTAACTCTGATAGAAACATCTAGGGCATTCTCTCAGTACCAAGCCTTTCCGGAAAACTATTGCAGGAATTTGAGGCACTGACAAAGGAATTTGGAGTTCAATTCTCTCAAAATCATAAAAGCAGCAAAAAGAAACCTTTATAATTTTCAAGGAACTTCTTATAGTTTCTCACACCAAGGAATCAGGGCAAGGGATATTGCACTAGTAACCCCCCCAATTCACTGTGTGTCCTCCACCCTTTCTGATGCAAGTTCCTTTTACCAGGCATTTTCAAAGTCCTGGAGATGAGAAACCCACCCATGAATAATCATATTTTCCTTCCTTCCTGCTTTGCATCTAGGAAGCACACTTCAGCCTAGCTGGCTTCCACCGTCAGCTTTAAGACTTTTGGCACAAAGTCCCTGGAGTGAATGTATGAAACTTCTTACCCTTGTCCTAATGTTTCTGTGCACTTTCGGTAATAGATGGTATACCTCCAAGCAAACGTTTTGTTCCTTTTAAATTCTCCTTCCCTTAGGGGGAGCTAGATGTTTAAAAAGCAATGTTCATTAGTGGGCTAACAAACTTGGGCTTAAGTAAAATGTTAACGTGTTTATAGCTAGTCAGTGTATCGCCTATGGCCTCAATTTCCCCAGTTCCACATTTTTGCCTCCCTGGGGTGCTGCAGGGGGTTAATTAATTAAGATTTGTAAAGGGATTTGGAGAGCTGGGGACAAAGTATTATTAGGATCTCATGCCCCAAGCCATGGCCCCATCCTTTCATCCCAGCCAGTGGCACAGGCAACCCCATTCTTATGCATGCCATGCTCCTAATCCCCTCTTGAATGTGGCAGCTTCCAAGGAAAGGACAAGAGGCCCAACTAGAAACAAAAATCCACTGTAATGAGGTGCTAAGAGGACTGAACTTTCAAGATTCAGTCCTAACAAAATGGCTGAACAGAAAGGGTAATGATTCTTCTGTGACTTCTGAGTCCCAATCCAAGGAGCTGAGAACTATGGGAGAAGAGCACCCTAAATATCTAACAAGATGACAGTTTCAGTATGAATAAGTCTTTATTCATTCATTTTATTTTCCCAGGGAAAAGAGGGGAAGGGAAAAAGTCAGCATGTGTTTTACAAAATGACAGCAAGTGGAAGTACCCGGCACAGCAAAATTAACCATCAAATAAACAGTCCCCAGTGATGGAGGTCACCCAAGGGGGCTCTGTCTCCTGCGGTTCAGAGATGAAGAGAGGGAATCAGGGAAAGGACAGGTACATGCTTTCCTACCCTCCCTCCCTCCCGCCCCATAAATTCAAGATTTCACACAAAGCTTTGGTTTCTAGCAGTAAACAGGGAGTTACATTCGTCCGTCTCCTATTAAACAATCTTGTGGCTTCTTTGACATAAGCTTTTTGCACCTGCATAAAAGTTCCTGAGTGACTTGAATATACATTCATCTTCCCTTTCTTGATCTCCCAACCCCACTTTCAAAATGAAAGTCCCCCCTCATTTCTTCTCTCTACCCTAGGATTAGAGATTAAAATATAGCAATCTAAGTGTTTGGCATGAATCGCATATCAAGGAATGGTCTTGACTCAGGATATTGGGAAGGGATGGAGTATTCTTAGCTTCTTCAGGATTTTTGCAAATTATCTAAGAGATGGGGTGACACCCCACACATTAAATGTGTATGTGTGTGGGTATAGGGGCTTTTCTGGGGTGCAGATAGAAGAGGAGATAGGGTAGGAGTCAAGTTTATAGGACAGAAGATCTGGTCCAAAATACGAAATAGGGGAAGAGGAAACAAAAGAAAGGGTGGTTCAAGATCCCCCATTTCAAGAGGGGTCCCCAAGCTTATGTTTCAGATCCTTTTTGCCTGGTGCAGAACCTTTTGTCAAAGATGCTTTGGCTATTTTTCTCAATACAAAAAGAAGTTTGTAAACAATAAAAGCCCAAAAGAACATGGAGAAAGACCAACACATTTACACGAACTAGGCCACCTAGCAATCACCAATTCAGCTACTGTGAAGTCCTACAAAGCCCAGACAAATACAATAACTAGAGGGGGCAGCAACTGGGGGAGACAAGAACCCAGGATTAGACACACATCACCCAATGCATTCTATTGCATTTGCCCCGTTTCAACAGTGAGGTAGGTTTTTGGTGATCTCACAGCATGTAAACGAAACCCGCTTTTCTCCTTCAGCTACTATGACACTAATCACTGCTTCAGCAGGGCAGGACACTGGCTCTGGGTACTACAAAGAAGCCATCGCTTATGGTCTCTCTGGAAGCCAAGGAGGAAAAGCAAAGAATTTTTAAAGGTTAAGGAATTTAGTCATTGCTTCATATATCCATCCCTGGACAGCTCAAGATGGGTAGAGAGGTATTGTTCTTAAAAGCTATCTTTACCAATTCATATTTTTTACAAACACACACACACACACACGCACATATACCTTGTGCATGGTAGGCCTAGCTCAATCCAGTGAGGGATGGATCGATCTGGTATGTAATGTGAGTCCCAAACCCTGGGATTACAGGTCTGGAACAGGAATCCTTGGTTACACATATGTAGGCAACCTGCACCTAATCTTGGCTTCCCCTCTGCACCTTCCACCTAGCCCAGCCTCCTAATCTCTGCACCAACCACCGACTCCCGTTCAGACCAATTTCCAATCTTCCAGTAGAAGGAGATCAAGTAATGGGGCCACCCCGTTAAAACCTAGTCTTCCACAAAATATTGAAGGCGGAGGGGGTTTAAGAGGACACTATGGCAGAAAAGTCAGCTCTAATTGGCAAAAATGAGGTAGTTCAATAGACAATACACTCCAAATAGTTCTCCCTGGTGATAACAAAAAGTATTCCTGCTGTGCAGACCTGGAGCTGCTGCCCACTTATCCCTGAGATTGCTCATGTACCTGAGAACACAGTGCAGGAATGAGGGCCTTAGATTAAAATACACAAAAATACAAAACCAGAATATTTATATTAAGAAAAAAAAAAAGTTAAAATGCACAAGATACGTCATTCGCACACAGCTAGTGCAGTTGGCATCCTGGAGAAAGTGGGACCCAAGGTGCAGTTTTCCAAGGGACCAAATAAATAAAATTGTATTGGTCCAGAAATGGGGTGGGAGTGAGCTTAGGAGCAGCAGGTCTGCAGCTGTTCCCCACCATCCCTTTTGCCTAGCCTCACAACTCATTGCTTGGGATAATTCTCAGCACCCTATCCCAAGAGTGGGTTATGAGGACACAAGATGTGGAAAAACCCTGCCGTACCCCTGAGATTCCCTCCCACAGAACATAGTCGTTTGTAGGCTGGGTCCATCAATCTGGTCTCATCCTAATTTTTTCACTCTGGCAGGGGACATATTATTATTACATATCCTTCTTTAAAAGGAAAACAGTTTCCCTATCCAGGCCACTTTCAAAAGCTGGAGATCCTGAGGGTGGAGACTCAAATAAAGCCCTCACATGGATTTGGATAGTGTGGAGTTCCTTTGCCTCCCACCTCCCCCCCTGCCAAGAGGGAAGAGGGGGTGATGCTGTGGAGTCCAGCCAGAGATACATGGCAGTGCCAGCTGCCCCTACCCACCCTGTCCCCACTTTCTCCATTCTGCCGATTGATGCCTGCTCCTTGAAACTCCCTGATCACAAAAGCGTAGCCCCCCCCACCCACTGTGGCTCAATTCTGAGCATCTGGGAGCAGGGCAGGGCTATGGATCTCTTCTTCTTCATCCCGAAAGTAGGCTGGCTTTCCCTGTGAGCTGGGGGCCTGCTGGGCCTTCAGTGGACATGAGGCCACCATATGGCTGATGCTCTGGCAGAAGTGGCACTTCTTGGGCTGGGGTGGCAGCTTGCATTCCTTGGCATGATGGTCTAGACCTCCACAGTTGTAGCACCTGGTACAAAGCAGGATGGTAAAGTTGAGAAAGGAGTGAGAAGAGATCAGAAGCCTTTCTCTGAGTGAGGACACTTGGGCTTTTCCCTTCCTAGAGACCAATTTCTCCACTTATAAAAGGAGAAATATGACTGGATATCTTGAAGTACTTTCCAAACCTGTAATTGTCTAGATGATCTTCAGATTCAGGTCACCTTGAAAAGACTGAAATACCAAGAATAGAAACCACAGACCCCAACTGAACACTGCAATTTGGGGGGGATAGGTAAGATTCTACCATACCCTTAAAAAAACTGTGCCCGTCATAGATTAAAAATATAGAAGAAATTGAAGGAGTCAGACTATATGTTGCTCTGTTCCAGGACAGAGCTAAGATGAACGAAACCAGCCCCTTGGAGACCTAGTGAAGGAGCAACAAGTACAGATACACCAATGTCTCCCCACAAATTAATCTTTCACATCCAGTCCCTTTCAGTTCTAAAATAATCATGTGAGATTACT